TTGGAGAAGAACATCAGACTTGGAAGGGTGGAGGGACAGTGCAAGAGAGTAAGACACAGGATGAGATGGATTGATTCAGTGGCTGGGGTAATGGTAGTAGGTGTGTCAGAGATGATAAAAATGGATAGAACAGGGTTCAGAGCTGTTGTGCATAAGGTCACTATAAGTCAGAGTCGAATTGATGGCACATAACAGAAAAACAAATAACTTTTCATAATATTTCAATATAATTGATTTAATTTCACCTGTTTCTGTTGTGATGTCAGCTCTATCATTTCTTCATTGAGTTATTTGTGTGTTCCCTTTTGTTGTTGTTAAGTCTGCCACTGTTTTGTCAATTTTGTTTACTCTTTTGAAAAACTAGCTCCTATCTCCTAGTCTTGTTGATGGTTTCAGTTATTTTTCTCTTTTCTATTTCATTGATTTCAGCTCTTGTTCTTATAATGTCCTTTCTTCTAGAGGTTGTAGGGTTAGATTATTATTCTTTTTCTATTTGATGGAGGTGTTGAGTGAGATCATTAATTTTGCTTTTTTCTTCTTTTTTATGTGTGCACATTTCACATTATGAAGATTATAGGGCAGTCTCAGATCCTGTCTTGTGCAAATCTGTGTGGTGGCCAACACTGAGTAACTGACTCAGGCTTGGGACTGAATGTCCTGGACTGAAAGCCTTATGTTAAGGAAGCTGATAGGCTTCTGGGAGAAGGGGTGTTATCTGATTAAGATTATAGGGCAGTCTCAGATCTTGTCTTATGAGAATCTATGTGCTTCTCTCAAGAGGTTTTGTTCTATATCATTTTGATAATTATTAATCTGTTGAGACTTGCTTTATGTGCTATTATATGATCAGTTCTGGAGAATGTACTATGTGCTCTTGAGATGAAAGTAAATTGAGTTTTAGTTGAGAGCAGTACCTGCATACATCCACAAGGTCCAGTTGGCTGATTGTATAGGTTAGATCTTCTACATCTTTGTTAAGGTTCTTTTCAATCTACCTGTCCTTTGGTGAGAGTGATATGTTAAATTCTCCTACCACTATTGTGGTGCTATTAATTTCTTCAATTCTGGTAACTTGTTTTATGTGTTTTGCATGTGTGTCATTTTGTGCATAGATGTTGGCAAATGTTATGTCTTCTTGATCTATTGATCTTATCCTTCTTTATCCTTTATGGTGGCTTTCAAACTTAAGCCTATTTTCTCAGAGATAGTATTGCCACTCCTTTTTTGTGTGTGTGCCATTTGCAGGACATATTTTTTCAGCCTTTGATTTTGAGTATTTTCTCCTCATTTCTTAGATGTGGCTCTTGTAGGCTCATCAATATATTGATGGGCTTTTTTTTTAAATCTAATATGCTACTCTTTTTCTCTCAATTGGTGCGTTTAGTCTATTCACAATAAATGTAATTACTGACCAACCAGGTTTTATCATTGCCACTTTGCTGTTTCTTTTTCTGTTGTTTCTGGTTACTATCTATTTTCTTCTGGTGTTTCTGTGTGAAGGACTTCCCTTAAAATTTCTCATAGTTTTGGTGTTGTTTTTATAAATTCCTTAAATTCCTTGTTTTTCACAAATAACCTAATTTTCCCTTCATATTTTATGGACAGATTTGCTGGATACAGGATTGTTGGCTGGCAATTGTTTTCTTTCAACTTTCTGTATATGCCATCTCATTGTCCTCTGACTCACATGGTTTCTTCTGAAAAATCAGAAGTTAATCTAATTGTTCCTCTTTTGTAGGTGACTCTTGGTTTTTCTCATGCTGCCTTTAGTATTGTAACCATATCTTTTCATTTGGAGGATTTCTTTATTACATATCTTGATGTGTTTCTTTTTGGGTCTAGTCTATTTGGTGTTTACTGAACTTCTTGGATGTGCAATTCTCTATTTTTCACAATATCTGAGAAGTTTTCTTCTAGTATCTTTTCTACAATTATCTCAGTGAGTTCCCTTTCCCTCTCATATTTTGGAATGTCTATCATATGTATGTTATTCCTTTTGATGTCATCTCACATGATTCTAATGTTTTCTTCATTTCCTTTATGTCTCATCTCTGACATTTCCTCTAGTATGTTTCCATTGAGGCTTTTCTCTTCCAGTTCACTGACTCTCTGTTCCATCTCTTCTATTCTACTTTTTTGTCTCTCCAGCATGTTAGAGACTTCTGCCATTTTGGTCTTACTATTCTGTATTGTATTTTCATGCTTTTCTGTTCATTCCAGTACTGTGTTTGCTGTACCCTCGCTGACTTGTGATAACTTTTTAAGTTATTGCATCACTTTATCTACAGTCTCAATTCTTTCTTCTTTCTTTTATATTTCTTCCATAGTTGTTCAAGTTGCTCCTCATTAATGTATTTCTTCTGGTTCCTTGTCTCTGGAATATTTGCCTCCTTAGTGGCTTCCATTGTTTCTGACATCATTTGAACATTTTTCTTTAGCTGTTCAAATAACTGCATCAACATATTATTTCCAGTTCTCTGTGTCTGGAGTATTCATTGGGTGTACAATAAGCTCTCCTTTTTTAAGAGATGGATTATTTTAGTTTTTTCCGTTATGTTTGAGACTGCTAGCTGCTTTCTTGACAGTGTGTGAGTCTTTTCTTGATAGATGTTAGGCTGTTATAATTTTGTAATGTCCCAGGGAAGTGGCATGTTCTCTGAAGGACCTGTGTATTGGTGTTCCCCTTTTGGCCTGAGGGCTTGCGGCTCTTGGGCCTGAAATGGGGAGAATGTTGTTCTTTGGAAAACCATGCTGGGTTCACTCCTACTCCCCTTTAGCTTAAGACATTTCAAGCAATCTCTGTATGTCACAGTCAGGAAAGCTCAAAGGCAGAAGTACCTTGATCAGAGAGTGCAGGGATGTATTGTTTTCTGGAAAACTGTGGCAGATGTACATATTATGTTTTTATCCAACAAACACTACAATTATTTGTACACATAGAACTATTTGTGAATCAGTTTTAGAAAAGAAATTTGTTGCAAGGTCTTTCTACATTGGACAGTAAATTTGAGTCTGGAATAGAAAGAGGAGTGAATAGATGTCCCTAAAGTACCACTTTAAATATTAAGATTCTAAAGGAGAAAAGACTTTCTAGAAGAAATTGGAGTTACCTTAAAACATTTCATGCTGTGACTATAACTTTGACAGTACAAGGCTATTGAAAATCAAGGTATGAACTAAGGTTGGAATCTTAGCAATGACTCTAATATTGTGCATCCTGAGTGAAATACCAACATAATTAATGTTTCAGTTATTTCCAAATATGATCCTTTGATTGGAAAGTTAATAATGGCATAGTCATGGAAAAAGATGTACCTGGCCATAAAGAAATGGGATGACTTGGTTAGAAAGTAGTCTTGAAGCAAATTGCAATTTGTCTGGGAAGATATTAAAAGGACACTAATTGAAATGTGAAATGTGTGACTATAGAGGAACATTATTTTCATGCTGAGGAAACCTCTTTGGACTCCCAGAAAACTACGTTTTTGTTTTTGTTTTTTTTACTTTCAGCAAACACAGCTTCATGCAACCTTTCTACCTCAGAGATCCACTGAATGACTTGACATTTATAATCTCTCTTTCTTCATTTTCTTTTTCTCTTTACCATGTCTCCATTCTCTTTCTCCCCATCTGCATTTTATTTTCCTTGCACAATGCTCTGGCTAAACTTGTGGGTGCCAAGCTTTCTCAACAAACTGTCTGTCTCTCTCTACTTGGCCTTCCACTTGTCTTCAGGTTGTCAATTTCAATTTTGATCACATTTGATTTTTATTCTGCACAGCTGTACTACCAGTGGCATGAACTGGTCTTCAGTAATGCTCTACATCCCCTACCCCCAACCCTTATTTTTCTGTCTAACATCTTAGCGGCTACACTCTCTCACCACCTGTTTTGGCTCCAGTTCATACTCAAAGTTGTTTTATTCCAAACTGACATCTATGGCCTGGATGAAACTTTTCTAGTATCAATGGAAAGAAAAATACTACCAATCATCTTCTCATAAGTCATAGAAGAAGTATAAAAATCCTGAGAAATGTAATTTATCATCATTAATGAGCATGTAATTACTTACAAGATGGCTTTTTAGTCTACAGCATAACTTTCTATTTCTTTCCTTAAACATTTTCTCTGGGTAAAAGTTTTGGAGAACTTGGCACATTTACAAATGCCATGTGATGTTACTATTTTGGGGAAATCATATGCACATTATTTCAACAGAGTTGCAATCATCTCCAACTTAGCCAGAGGGTTTGCTAGAACCTTCTACCCTAGACCTTCTCAGTTAGTGGCTTGGCACTGAACTTTCAATTTCCCAATGAATGGTAGTTACTTTTACATTTTCTCAGAATGAAGTGTACTAACAGATAGTGTGTGCATAAATTAAAAACTCAACTTCTACAAAATTAGATGTTAATTATCTTTGATGTAATCAGCTGTGTCTATAGTATATGCAGTGTGTTCATAACATTATATTCATTCAAGAACTTAAAGTAAAATTTAAATAAATCTAATATTATAGATTTAATTAGCTCCTAAATTTAAAAATTAGTCTTTATCTTTCCACATATACAATTTTTAAACATTTCATTAGGTTGAAAGATATTCTTAAAAAGAGTTTGGCAGAGATAAGGGTGGTGAAAATTCATTTCACATGCTTTGGGAATGTTGTCAGGAGAGGTCTGTCCTTAGAAAAAAGACATCATACTGGGAAATGCAGAGGGTCAGAGAAAGAGGGGAAGAGCTTGAACAGATGGATTGACGCAGGGCCTGTAATGATAAACATATGAGAAATGATGAGGTTTGAACTGGATAAAGCAAGGTGCAGATCTATTGTTTATAGGGACAGTATGAGTAGTAGTTGACTCAGTGATTCCTAGCAACACAAAAGAGTGAAATGCTGAAACTTATAGAATATATTTCTAATTAAAGATTTAAAAAGAAAATCAATGGGAACAGCTACTTTTTTTCTTTAAAAAAAAAAAAAGAAACCTCCCACTTTATTTACAAATAAAAACACAAACATACAATTTTTGTCTTGACTTTGATACTTCCAAGGTCTCTTGATCAAGTGGAGCAGCAATAGGCAGGGAAGAAGACTCAGGGGCCAATCCAGACGATTTTATCAAGATCATCACCCAGAAGGAGCCTGAGTTAGTCTTGTCTATGCTACATCTTTCCACACTGTGATATCACCACAGGCAATTTGGGTTTAGTGTTGGGGCCTGTAGGAACATTCTCAATTTTTGTCATCAATAGAAGTCCATCAATAATTTTTCCAAATACCACATGCTTCCCATCTAGCCAATCACATTTAGAACAGGTGATAAAGAACTGGCAGCCATTTGTACAGGGACCACTGTTTGCCATGGAAAGCAGGCCTGGAGCTGAGTGTCTCAGTTTAAAATTTTCATCTGCAAATGGCCCTCGGTAAATGCTGGAAACTCCAGTACCATCTCCATTAATAAAATCTCCACCCTGGATCATGAAATCCTTTATGACCCTGTGGAAAGTGCTCCCTTTGTATCCTATTGGAACTCCATCTTTTCTGAATTCTCTTATGCAGAACTGCCTAAAGTTCTCGGCCGTTTTAGGCACAACATCTGCAAAAAACTCGATCTTCATGCAGCCAACTTCCTGGCCACCAATGCTGACATCAAAGAACACGACCTGGTTGACAGGGCTTGAATTTTCAGAAACAGCTACTTTAGGTAAGGCAGGGGCTACCATGAAAAAAGTTTCTTAGTTTATCCATACTGAGTAAGACCAAACATGGTTACTAGTTCTAATTATATCTATTCCTGCTCCATCAGTGCTAGCAGCACTATAATTTGAAAACAACTCTTAGAAAAATAAAAGGAGAAAGAATCTTATTTGTTTCCGGTGGGCCAATTGCCATCATTCGATGTTGACTTACTTCCTTAGGTAAAAAAAAAATTCCTAGTATCTTTTTCCATTCAGGCAACCATAGATAGGATAATTGCAGCTAGAAGTGAGTACAGCAAATGAATTAGCCAATTTACTTTATGTACTGCCCAACTTTTAATTGCTTAAGTTAATGGTACATTGTCCTGTTTCCTGCAAAAATGACTTCTTTTGGATTTGGACTTGTGTACTGTTGAGACTGACTCATACATACCCTCCGGAAGACAGTAATGTTATGTTTAAAAAGTTACAAATAATCAAACTACTCCAAGAATTCAAGAAGTATGTAAAATTATTTCACCGGACAATTTTTTTTTTAAATCCCTGTTCAACTCTTGTCTTTTCCCCAACTTTACTGAGGTTGGATCAAGTGAACCATTAGCTAGTTTTAGCATACCAACCCAAATAGATCTGACTTCTCTTTCTAAGCACGCTATGTGACTCATTCCATTTCTAGGCTCTGGGAACTAATTAAGCATTTTATTGTACAAGGATTCCCATCCTCTCCAACTCCTGCTGGGATTTTGGCTGCATTTGAAATAAAAGTGAATGAAGATGGTGATAATGTTAACCAAGTTGTTAAACATACAGTATTATTACATAAACAAATTTTGTCAAGAACCTACAACATGTAGGTGTTTTAGGCCCTCTGGTAACATTTTTCTGTTGTTGTTAGGTGCTATTGCATCTACTATAACTCATAGTGACCCTACCAATAACAGATGTGAACCTTGCCCTACCTTGCAGTATCCTCATGATCTCTGATATGCTTGAGTTCATAGTTAAATATGAGCTCATAGTTCATTGTGGCAGTCCATCTTGTTGAGGGACTTCCTCTATTTCTCTGACCTTCCACAGTTCCCAACATAATTTCTTTTTCCAAAATTTGGGAAATGCTTATAATACGCCCAAAGTACTTAAGTCACAGTTTCACCAGCCTTGCATCCAAGGAGTGCACTGGTTGTACTTCCTCTAAGTCAGACTTGCCTTAAACTATGATGTCTGCTAGCAGCAGTGACTTAGGGTAGAGTGAATTTTGTGGAGCATAATGACAGTAGCCCAGTAAAAGAAGAACATTGCAAAAAGGCCCTGAGAGGGGTGTGTGTGGAGGAGGTAATTGTGCAACAATGAATGGATATTAAACAATAAAGTGAACTGGGGGAAAGGAGGTAGGGAAGTAAAATGTGCAAGAATGAATGAATGAAATATTAACTTTTCTGTAAACTTTTGTTAAAATCACAATTAAAATAAAAACAATTATTAAAGAAAAGAATTATCTTTCAAAGTGGTCAATTGGCTTGTGATTCCCTCAGAAATGACACCCTGCTATGACGATATGGGTAATTTTTCTGTGAATTGAAGCCTTTCTGAATTTTGTAGGAAGATTGATCTTATATTCTTCAAATGACACTGTGTCCTACTCAGGACTATTTTGCATTATACCTCATAGGATGGCTATGGGCTTGTGGACTCCTGGTAAACCACTGGCATCTTGGTCTGTGTTATGCACTATATTGCTTAACACATCCCTTTTAGGCAAATACACTGTAATTGAAAACAGTGGAAATGTCTTTAAGTCACATTATCCAAAATAGTCATAGCCCCAGTAATGTTCATGGAGCTATTTAGTTTGAACATCCTCTATTCTCTACATTGGTGAAACTTTGGAGGATTATGTGTAAGCCTGTCCTCTATAACTAATGAGAGATGCAGAAAGTCACTTAATTTATGTGAGAGTGTTAAAGTAGAATTTGTAAAAACCCAATGAACTGAGGTTGTTTTGCTCTGTCTAGAGACAAAGTCTTTGAGGATACAACATAACTATGTGTTCTTGTTTAAGAGGCATAGGGATTAACCAGGGATCCATTTCTGCTGTAGGACAGAAAAAGAGGAAGTGGACTATGAAGTATTTCCTTAAATATAGGAAAATCTTCTGTTCTATTAAGGTTGAAGGAAGGTTCATCAACTGCCCGAATTATACAGATGACACAACCCTGTAAGCTGAAACTGAAGAGGACCTCAATCAAGCACTTGCTGCAGAAGGTCAAGGACCGCAGCAATACGAATTGAAGCTCAATTCAATTCAATATGAATTAAAGCTCAACATAAAGTAAACAAAGATTCTCACCATTGGGCTGATTGGCAGCATCATGATGGATGGTGAAGAGATTGAGATTGTTAACAGCTTTAGTTTGCTTGGCTCCACAAACATCACTTTTGGTACCAGCACCCAGGAAATCAGATGAATGAACAGATATTAAACAATAAAGTGAACTGGGGGAAAGAAGGGAGTGGGAGTATAATGTGCATTGGGAAAGTCAGCTGTCAGGGACCTCTCCAGAGTACTGAAGAGCAATGATGTCAGTCTGGAGACTAAGGTGTGCCTGATCCAGGCCATAGTCTGTCTTCACAGTTGCTTGCTATGCATCAGATAGCTGGACAATGACTAGGGATGATAGAAAGAGAATTGATGTCTTTGAGGTGTGGTACTGGAGAAGAGTATCTGAATATACCATGGACTGCCAGGAGAACAAACAGGTTTGAGCTAGAGAGGGTGAAGCCAGACTGCTTTTTGGAGGCAAGGATTCTGAGGCTTCGTCTGACATACTTTGTGTGTGTTGCAAGGAGGCACCAATCTCTGGAGAGGGACATCATGCGTGAAATGGTGGAGGAATAGAGAAAGAAAGGGAGACCACCGATGAGATGGATTGATTCAGTGACTGGGGCAATGTGGGTAGGTGTATCAGAGACAGTAAAGTTTGCACAAGACTGGTTTCAGGGCTGTTGTACATAGGGTCACAATGAGTCACAAGGGACTCAACGGTACATAACAACAACAGCAGCAGCAGCAGCAGCAGCAGCAGCAAGAACAACATTATAGTTGCTGTTCCCATAATCAATACACTTGGTACCAGCAGTCAGGAGATAAGGAGATGGGTTGCAGTGGGAAAGTCTACAACCAGAAACCACTACAAATTATTGAGGAACAATGAGGCCAGTTTGAGAACTAAGGTGCAACTGATTCAGGCCATAGTCTTTTTGGTCACCTGTTATACATCTGAGAGCTGGACAATGACTAAGGATGACAGAAGGAAAATTGATGTCTTTGGACTGTGTTGTTGGAGAAGAATACTGAGCATCTTATGGACTGCCAAAAGAACAAACAGATATGCCTTGGAGAAGGTGCAGCCAGAGCGCTCCTAGGAGCAAAGATGATAAAGCTTTGTTTCACATACTTTGGGTATATTGCTAGGAGAGCCTCTTCCTTGGAGAGGAACATCATGCTTTGAAAGGTGGTGAAGGGTGGGAAGACTCTCCATCTGGTGGGTCAACACAATGACTACAGCAAGAGGTTTGAGTGTGTCAGATTGTGGGGATGGCACAAGATAGGACGGGACTCAGATCTGTTGTTCATGGTGTTGCCATGAGTTGTACTTAATGACCTAACAACAACAAGAAGGTGGTTAGAAATGGTAATATATAGGAACTGAAGAGCAATCGGTATGATTTTGTAATTAAGACCTTAATTGATAAGTGAAAATGAAGGTTCATTACAGAGATGAAAAGGAATGGTTCTAAGAATATCATTGCTTGACTGGAATCACAGTGTGACCTTCAGTGAAAGCCCTCATGGTGCAGTGGCTTAGTGTCCCATTGCTAACGGAAAGGTCAAGGGTTTGAATTTACCAGCTTCTGCATAGGAGAAAAATGTAACAGCCTGCTTCTTTAAATATTTGCTGTATTGGAAACCCTCTGATCACACTTATCATATTCTATAAGGGCACTATGAGTTGGCATTGACTTGACAGCAACGGGAGGCCCTTAGCAGTGAGGAAACTTGCATACTTGTTCAACAAAGAAACCTTCCATTTTCTCAACCAGTCCATATTGTTGTTGTGTGCTATCAAGTAGCAATCACCCCACAGCTGACTGTCCAGCAGGTTTTCAGAAGCAGTTAAATGCGTGGGAGGAGAATGCACATTCCTCTCCTGTGGAGCAGCTGGTGGATCTGAACCACAGGCTTTCAGGATTACAGCTCATCTTCTTACTACTAGACCTCCAGAGTGTTCCATAGGTATAAATAGCTTACCTCCTTTAAAGTGGTATTATGAAGATTGAGACAATCTATGATGCAGTTTCTTGTACATATCAAATGACTAACAAATGTCATGAAAATGATATTTATGATGTTGTATTGTTGATTGTTGTCGAGTCTAGCACAACTCATAGCAACCCTATGAACAAAAGACCAGAAGCCTTTGAATAACTGTCATTTCTCAAAGTTCATAGAGTTTTCAGAGGCATGTTGCTTAGGATGGAATGCCACGCCTGTTATGGTACTCTCTAAACTTCCAATGCCATTTTTATTGTTTGTGCCAATTACTACTCTGGTGGTTTAGTGGTAAGAAGTTGTACTGCCAACCCAAAGGCACACAGTTCAAATCCTCCAGCTGCTCTGAGGGAGAAAGAGAATCTCCTCTTGTATTATGTACTGCCTCCAAAACCCACCGGAGGGTCAGCTATGAGTCCGTTCTGACTGGATAATATAGCAATACCTTTGGTACTATTATTAATTATTTTTTTTTACTAAACTCCCTGGTGGCTTAGTGGTAAGGAGATACACTGCCAAGCCAAAAGCACAAAGTTTGAATCTGCCAGCTGCTCCAATGGGGGGCGGGGGAAGGACAATCACTTCTCATGCAATTTGCTGCGTCTGACACCAGAAGGCCACCTATGGGTTGGTTCCAATTGGGTGATACAGAACAATAACATAAACAGCCTTATGCTAAGTAATAGCATTTATG